GAGACATTAATTTGCTCCCAGAAGCAGTATAGCCATGTTAATGCCATGCTGTACCTGGGCTAATTAGAAGAATAGTTTCTGGTCTTCAATCGAAAGAGCTTTCTTTCCCTCTTCCCTCCCCCTCCCCCAAATGTTGTTAATCTCTGTGGGCAAATTTATTGGAGCATGATATGAGATGTTAACGGCGCCTGTTGCAGATAAAATGGTAGAATTAATTAGAGCTTTTGATTTTAGAAGATAATCTAGTTTTGAAAAAAGATTTGTGTATTGGGGATGATGGGGGGGGGAACGAATGTTTCTTGTCATCTGGAGACAATTTTAACTTGATTCATCAACATTTAGGGTCAGACTGCCTCCAGCCTTTGTACAAGTGTGCAGGATACAGGAGAACACAATTAGCCTTTCTTTCATCTTCCATGCAAATACCACAGAGCATCACAGTCTCCAAAGGTGTCTATGAATCGAATGCTAAAATAGATTAACATTTGCTTTACAGGCCTATGATAAAATGCTAAGTACAGTAGTCTGTGTTAAGGGATTGCTTGTGACACACATCATCCATCTGAGGTTGAGCAACTGCCCTCGTGTTCTGCCATCAGCCAAAGATGGCATATTCCCGGAGGTTTGGTGCTTCCATCATGACAGTTTGCTGGAAGCCCTTTGCTGGGCAGACACTTTACCAAGCCAGCCTGAACATTATGGGCACTCTAGAAAGTGTTTTGGGTTTAGACCCCTCTGGAGAAAAGAGGAAAAACAATATTGGCTCACCTTGAGATCACGCACCTGGCAGTCGAGAAACAGGTGGACATGGGTTCCTGTCACTCCAGGTTTGGGTGATCTAACCCCAAATATTTTTCCCAGGGAAATTTGCCTATTAGACCTCCCATTGGGATGGCCAACATGAAAACTTCTGGCAAATTCAATATTTGCAGAGGGGAAGAAAGGCAGAAGATTTAGAAGGTTGGATTTAGTCATGGGGAAACTCTGAGTACTTTCAGAAACAAATAAATTGCACAGTTTGGCAAAGACAAGGCTGCTGCTAGACAACCTTAATTTCACAAGCAATATGTGAAAGAAATGAAGGTGATAGGAGCAATCAGTAAAGAGTCAGCATAGAATCAAGGAGAGAAAATAGGGTGGAAGCCACTGCAACCAATTAGCTGGATGAAAATCAGGAGATTAACCTGAGTAAATAGTCAGCCAGTTCCCCTCAGTCACTAGAACATTTAACAGCAGTACCAGGCCTTCACCATGTAAGAGCGATGATGGAAAGCATACAACAGAAAGAGTTACTCAATGGCCTATTCCTGAACAACAGTCTACTGATGATGATGGCAAAGTTTGGAATTTTGTCCATCATGGGAAATACAACAGGGTAAGACACAGAATGGCCTAACAAACAGAGCAATGTACTAGGGATCAGAGGTTTTATTTCTATTTCCATCACAGGCCTGCAGGGTGACTACAGATAAGGCCTCATACTCTGCCTCAGTTTCCCCACAAGCAAAGCAGCCTTGCACTTGGAATCACAAGAATAGTCCCCACCAATCTGGTTTGAAAAATGAAAAAGTCTCTGAAAAAAAGATACTGGAAAGACTCAATCAGTTTCTTGAAAGCAAGAATCAGGTCACAAACTCTCCCTTTCAGGAAATGTGCTGTTATCTGAAGAAAGGAACGGAAAAGTCAGTATAGCACAAACATACCCGTGAATTAAGCTGTTTGGGGGCAGATGCAGGCAAGTTTCAATATCATGGACCTCTGCGCTGGCTATTTAACCTCCAAGTGATGGGTGTTCTGCAGAGCACCCTCCTGTGCAGACATAGCCAAATTCCAGGAACAGGTTTCAAGGCTGTCTTGAACACACAGCTGACTATTCACACTCCTTCCCGGTATCCTTAGCATGAAGATGTGTGAGAAGGCATCTCAAAAGTAGGTGGGGGTTTTTCTAGAAAACACTTCCCTCCAGCAACTGCTGACAGAGCAACAGGCTGTGACACTGTTGCAAGATGGAGGAAAGGATAGCAACCCCTGTAGCAATTATTCACCGCCATTAACGACACGTGTGATGGGTGGAAAGATAATGGAAAGGCAATGCCATCTCCATGACCTGCCCTCAAATGCATAGCCTGAAAATCCAGCCTGATGTTTATATAGTGTTTTCAACCTGTAATCTGCTAAATGCTGTGATTAAATAATTGTGCTTAAGGTTATAACTGGCTTTAAATTGTACAGTTTAACATTGAGCGTTAGAATTGACAAATGCCATTCCCCATTGAGTAAGTAGCTGAACTTAAGCCTGGGGGCTGAGAGCTGGAAGAGCATCCAACAGTTGTGGAGTTAAGGAAACCCCAAAAGGAGGAGTGTCTTATTGGCATCTGGGGAAGAAAAGGGGAGAAAAGTGAAAGGGAGCAGTGCAGGGGCTTAAAACATGTTTATTTTACACAGGCTGTGCTGTTGTGCTTGGAAGGTATTTCCCTTAAGGTAAGGAAGCCTGGCATGGAGTAGTGAAAGGACTGTCATTTTACTGGCATAGCAAAGTTTGGGGCAACAAGCCACGCTGGTGTGTGTGGGCACCCCCTCCTAGAGAAAGAGCTTCCAGCATGGGGTGCAAGTCTTGCCCCCTAGGGAAAAAAAAAAAAAAAAAAAAAAGACTTCTGTGCTAAAATCTCTCTTGTGCCACTGCACAATGGCTCTCGAGAGCTGAGGGCAGGAGAGGAAGCTGTGGAAGAGTTCCCCTGTGTTAAGGGATGGCGGTAATTTCTACCACCACCTGCGTTTTTGCTATGAGCTGAAATGACAGCAGCTACGCAAAGCGGCTGTGAACATGGAGCAAAGCAAAGGCAGGCAGGCTGGAGGAACCGATCCCTTGGGCTCTGGTAGTCCCAAACGACAACAGATTGCTGCATGAAGGGATAAGCTACCTGTAGACCTAGTCTTCACGGAGGACTGTGAAAATACGACCATTTATACGTTACTAAACTCATGTGATATTGTGTTTACCTATGCAGTTGACTTTTCCTTTTCCCTCGTTAACGAAGTATAGTTACACTTGGGAATGGGAAAAATTATTTCATGAGGCACCAGAAAGTTTAGTTCAATTTTTTCCCAGGTTTCGGGACAGGCTTGAAGCTGTTCTTTTATTAGCAGCCCTTGAAAAATTTGAACTGGCCCCTGTGACTGTCAAACACATCCTGACATAAGTTAGACTAATTTAATTCAGGGCTGGACCAGATGATCTCTAGACATCTCTTCCAATCTAGACTTTTTTATGATGGTATAAATGGATGGGGGGTTTAATTTTTTTTTTTTTTTAATAGGTGCGTGACTTAGAGGGAGAGCTACGTGAATAACTGATCTTTTGGTTAACTGGATGAACAGAAGGTCGAGGAGTGAGATGCAGTGTTGGGAAGCAACGTTTTCCAACTCTCAGCAAGCTTTCCTCTCCCATTACAGAAACACTTAGTGTATCAAGGCATTGCATTCCAGGCAAAATGTAACAATTTCTACTCCTTTCACAAAGATTATATTCAGTTAGGGTTTTTTGAACAAAATGCTACTTAGGATGAAAAATCAAAATGTTTAAAAACACATTTCAGGCTTTTAAAAAAATGTGTTGTTTTCTTGAGGGAACTATTCATGAATTTCTGAAGAGGCGACTGAAAGCATGGATAGTCTCCAGCGAGCCAACTTCATTTTTTGCCAGATAGACTATTTCATTAAAAAACAATCAATCCCTTTGTCTGCTTAATCACTGTTCTGACAGGCTGCAAAGGAAAGACGAAGAATTCCTGCTCCATGCAGCGCTGCACAGTCACATGAAGGCTAAATGGAAAGCCAAACCTAATTTTGCAAGGGGCCATTAGGAGCCGTGGGCTCTCCAGTCCCACAAGGATAAAGTCTTAACACAACGAGGTCCAGCGTTTTAAAAGCAGATGCCTGAAGTTCTGCTCACCAGCCTGCACTCACCCATTTAAATACCTGGGCTGGCACGCCAGGGTACTTAGCGAGCAGCATTGATGCTTGTGAGTTTAATGGGAAATGCTGGGTGATTAGGACTTTTCAAAGCCATACCAGTTACTTTAGTACCTTCGGAGGCCTCGGGCCTTGGATGCACATCTGCATATTCATGGATGCACACATCCCACTTGAAGTTAGTGAGACCACACAGTCCAATAAGGTAATTTTTTTTTTTTTTATGGGTATTTAGGGAAGATTGAGTCTGACTTCAGGCATTTCTAA